TGTGTGTGTGTGTGTGTCAAAGGGAAGACTTTGTGCTGGAAAAAGTGGAGCAGGAGAGCCAGGCCCGAAGTCTGTTGGACCAGATCATCAGCATGTTGCAGTCGATTGCTCAGCAGAATACGAATGTGGTGGTCAGGATGAAGTTGATGCAGATCAGCAGGTCCATGGTAGGAGAGCTGCATGACTCATAATGTGATTTGTGTGTCTGTAATCACTCACTTCTCACTAAAAAGTACATTTTTAGTGTCCTTACTGTCTAAATCTTTATACCCTAATAATCATCGTATCCCGCAATGCATTGTGAAAAATAGTGTGCAACCAATCACAACTAAACGGGCAATATATACCATTGTGCATTGCGTTTATGCTGCATGAAAGACAAACGGCCACCAGACGAGAGGAGAGAATACAGTATAATGGAAAAACAAAAGAGTTCCGTGTCTGAATAAAAGTTCTCAAATGTGACGTAGTGGAAGGGAGTGGCAAACAGAGAAGCATTGTTTTAAATGAAGTGAAAGTTGTAGCACCAAATATTTTCTATTCATTTATGTAGAAAATGATTCCCAGTATAATATGAATAACCGACGCTGAAATGGCACGTTTTAATTGTGCAACAGCAATGACTTTAACGATGAGATAGAAGAAGAGAAAATGACCCATGTCTTACATATGTTTGTGCCAACCTGCTACAACAGCCGTATTATAGATAGATCACTAAGAAATGTGGTTTCTTTACAGACCATATTTCAACGGCAGCCTCTAGGGTTTGCAGTGCTCGTCAGGGACATCCTCAGGAAGGAGCGGGCTCTGCTCAACAGGGTAAGAACCTCATTAACTGACACAGTCTGTGTTTTGTTTTTGTTGAAGCTCTCACAATGATTCGCTGTGTCATCGTGTTTTAGGTTCAGGTGAAGCTTGATATCTGAGTACATGTTATAATTGACAAATGAATGGCTCTCTGCGATTAATACCCCAGTGTAAAATCTGTATGTGTGCAGCTCCATGAAGACAGCATTGTCCAACTTCAGAGGTTTTGGGGACATGAGGTGTAAAAGAAATGTACCATCAATTGTTATTTAGCAGTATTTTGTTTCCTGCCGTGGTAAGTTTGATAATTGTTAGTCAAACTCCCGTCCACAGTCAGTTTTCAGTTTTAACTGGGTCAAAAGGGTCAAAAAAACACATGGATTTCAACAGCTGACAGCATCCTTGAATGAAAATCTTTTATTTTCTTTACCATTTGTTCTTGCAGTTGGTAATAATCTTTTCAAAGGCCAAACAAATCTGAACACAAATAATCCACATTTTTGATTCCATTTTTTTTGAAGATGCCATTATGTCCAATCGATGGGTTCTTGATAAAAGAAAGAATGCTAATAGCAAATTCAGCAAAATGTCTAAAAACGACCTTCATGTTATATATTTCTTATA